GGAACTATTTATAAGAAACTATAAAAACATTGTCTACATGAAATTGATGCTAAAAGATTACATAAGATATCCATCCAAATTAAAACTCTCACGAAAAAGGAAACTCGTATCTTTTATGCATTGTCTGTCCTGGATCATATCATCCCCTCTCTCTTCGAAAGGATTCGTCCTCAAAAGTCAAATCTGTGTCTTGCGATCGCATAGGGGATAACCAATCTGCTACGAGTTTTATTACCGCACCACCTGGATCAAATGGAAAACTTTTCCCTTCCCCGACATAGGATCAATGCATGACACCCATGCAATTGGTGGTTGCGATGGTCACGGTGTTGCATGCGATGGTGGTGCGATCGTCATGGTGATATTTGGTGGTGGGTTGTTTGTCATCATCATCGTCATTACAATAGTGTTGGTGATGATGTTGCTAGAGGCAGTGTGGTGGTCACAAGTAATGGAGGTGGTCACAGAGTACTTGGTTTTCGTAACCAATAAATTGGTTAATATGTAACCAATCAAATAATGTATGACCTAAGAATTAGATAATTTGTAACTAATGAAATAGATAATTTGTGACCAATAAATAACGTATGATTTAAGAATTTGTTAAGTTGTGATTAATAATTTGTGATCTATAAATAATTGTGAGCAATTAATTTTATATTTTGTGACCATGAAATAAGTTGTTACTTATAAAATTTGTGATTTGTGATCAAAGATTAATATGTGACCTGTTAATTTGATAAATTTGTGAAATATGTTGTTACCTGTAAAATTTGTGATTTGTGACTGTGAAGTCTGTAATTATGATTAATATATAATTGTGATCAATTATTCGGTTGATTCTGACAAACAAATTGGTTCATTTGTAACCTAAAAATGTGATGTGGCACACAATTTATTAAATTGTGATTGAAAAATAACTTGTGACCAATTAATTTGATAATTTTTGTCTGACAAATAAATTGTAGCCGATAAAATTTTTGATTTTGTGACCGATGAATAAATCGTGACATATAAAAAATTTTATTTGTGATTGAGAAATAATTTGTGACCAATTAATTTTGATAATTTGAGACCAAATTGTATAGATATGCGACCTTACTATATTTAATTAATAAAATATATATTTAATTAATAATTTCATAAATAAAATTTAGCCCTTGTTTGTGTTCCATTATTATATATTATAATGAGTTGAATAGTATATTTTGGGAGAATATATGTTTGAAATATTAGGAATTTTTGTCAAATTTACGTGTAATATAATTTTATTTGAGAATGTGCGGTTAATAAGAAGAGAGAAAAAATGAGTTTTAATTTAATAGGGGCTTAGCATGTGTTTGGCACCCATTTTTGGGAAATTATAATTTTTTGAATATTGATTCATGGAAGAATGTGTGTTTATGATTAAGAAAGAGAAAAAAATTAAAACCTTAATGGATGCCAAATACCATTTTAATAATTTGATTTTTTAAGTTTTAAACTTTATTTCTTAATTTTGAAATGGGTGACAGAATTTCCCATAATTATTTTACGATTTCGAGCTAATTACATCAATGGACAATGAACTTTTGAATAATTACTTTAATAGTTTCTAAATTTATTTTATTATGGTAATGATTGCTCAAGTTTCTTAATGGCGCACTAATAGTCACTCACATAAAAAATTAATGTTAGTGATGTGGCTTATTGTCAACCTATCACCAAGCAACATATATTTGCTTGTATGAGCCACTTTATTTTGGCAGGGAAAATATTATTTTATTGAAAAATGTGTGGTTAAAAATTAGTAGAAAAATGAGAATGAAAATTTTAATATAACTCAAACAGGGACTTCTTACGCCAAGTTATTAAAATCGAAGAATTATGAATTAATAATTAAAATGATTATATGGTAAAATCACGCCTTTTTACATTAAAACATCCAATTTGCCGACAAATAACGTTTTTAAAATTTAATAAAAATGCGTCGAAAGGATCTCGTTGCGATGTAGATTTTTTTAAAGCTTAAACCCACTGGCAGAGCTAGGGGGATCCTAGGGGGGACCCGGACCCCCCCAAATTTTTGACAATTTTTTTTTATTTTTTGGTTCTTTTTGTATTTATCATTACCATCTTGTTCTCAAATTAAGCCCCTGTTTGGTGCACATTTTTAAAAAAAGAATGCATTTTTACTGTTGATGTGATGAGGAATATGTGGTTGAAAAAGAAGGAAAAGCTATTGATGTGATGAAAAATATTATTTTATTGAAGAATGTATGGTTGAAAATGAGTAGAAGAACGAGAATGAAATAAATAACGTTGCTCAAACAGGGACTTAGTGAGAAATTTCAAAATAATCTTTTTTATACTATTGNTGTCCTCAAATTGAATAAAAATCTTAAATCCTAACAATTTCATTTTTCGTTTCTGTCTTCTAAGTATGAGAACTCGAAAGGAACACTTGTAATAATGTATAATTTTGCTAAATTAAGTATTGATACTTTCTGTTATTTATTTTTTTTTTGATTTTTTTGTTAATAAGGTATCCAAAAAAAAAATTTAGGGTCCGCTACGCCCGAACCCCCGTGGCTCTCCACCCCTTCATCTTTATATCTTCAATTCTGGGACCCCCCCAACTTCAAACGGCTGGCTTCGCCCCTGCTTCAACCCACCTATACATTGTAGATTACACTCCAAGAGAAGTTAAAGAAATAATTAGATAGAAAACAATATTTCGTAGTACTCTATTTCAGACTTTTGTCTTGCCCTTGTTTGATGTAACTAAAAATCATATTTTAATAGATTTTAATACAAGTTGATAAAATGTATTGACTTAAAAAGTTGATAAAAATTTTGTATCTCATAAAATATATGGTTAAAATTAATATTAATTTTCACAAAAAAAATTATTAATTTTAAATCACAACCAACAGAATCGGGGCTCTAAGTACTTCTGCAATGTAAGCCCCTCTTTGACAACCATTCTGTCAAAATTCTTTTTTTCTTATGCTTATTTTTAATCATACATTTTCACAATAAAATATTTTTCACGCAAAATCCAATTTTTTTTTCTACTTCTTAACAACGCATATAAATTTACTATTCAAAAACTTATTTTACACAAAAATTTGGCTGTCAAATAGGGCTATTGTGCCAATGAACATTACCAATATGGGCCCCCCCTTGTGAGGGGAGTGTACATTTAGCATTTTTCTACCAATTTACAGTATATTAAATATAGGTTTATTGGCACAAATTTCTCATTTTCCCTCTTTTCTCTAATGCTAAACATAAAATTGTAATTTTTTTTTAATTTATCTTTTTCTTCTTAGTTTTAACTTTAAAAACACGGTTTAATATTTTTTTACAAAGTGATTTGATCTTAATTATATTTTTTGAAAATTAGTTTTTATTTGAAAATAAATTAACCAATTAACTTGATAACGTGGCATAAGGACAAGACGTCAAATTGAATTAGAAGCTGAAATATTTTGCGAAGTTCGGTGATGAATCTGAAATAAATTAAAGTTTAGTGACCAAGTTGACAGAAAATGAGAAGTTCAGTGGCTATTATTGAAATAAAGCAAACATTGTAAAATGTTGAATTCAAATTTTGGCTCCATTTTCCTTGCCTTCTTCCAAGAAATAGTAGACTGACAACCTTGTCAAATCCCACTTTCTAAAATCNGTGTAAGATTTTTTTTTTTTTTTTTTTTTTTAAAGCTTGTCTTTAATGGAGTTTTAACTGAAAATGATTCAAGTGAAATCAAAAAATTATTTTTAATAAGGTTTAATTTGTTCTTCTTCTTCTTGTTGTTGTTATATTGAAATGGGCTCAAGTGAGTTTCTATTTTTGCCAACAGCTCAAGCAGAGAAAGATGCTGGAAATCAAGAAGAAGCCCACAGATTTTAAACACGAGAAGAAGAACGTGAGAATTTTTATTATTTTTTATTATGTAACTTTCATTTCTTGATGTTTATCTATATGAATAATGATTACTAGGAATCCGTCTAACTTCAAATAATAATCAAGTGTTGATTTTGTCTCATTGCGTTCTATGGGCATGTTTGATGTAGATTTTTTGGAATATTTTTTTTTTGGAAAAGTGATATTTTTGGAGAATTTGAAATTAATTAGTTGGGAAAAGTTACGGGTTCATGAGTAAAATTATATTACGGGGAGAATGAGGGGTTAAAAATGAGCTTGACGAAAAATGAATTTTAGAAAAATATGTACCAAACTTGGGGCTAAGTGTTCGTTGTAATGTCGTGTACGTGAAGTTCTTTTCTGGATTGGTTAATTAAGAAAATTAATGATTTATAAGCTGTAGACGAACCACTTTTTACGAATTTATTTCTGGTTAGATGCTTGAATGCAGCATTGTGTATATATGTCACGTATCTCAATTGGGAGAGCCAGACCCCAAAAGCTAACTATTAAGGTTGGAGAGCCCAAACCAATATAAACCACACAAAGGAAGCTTAAACTTCCGATGTGCGATTTAGGTGCCCATACATCCCAATGGGAACCATGATAATTTTTAAGGTACTATTGCTAGAGTTCTCTTTTCTTTGACGGGTCTAATTTGTTCTTGGAAGTTAGATGATTTTGGTCATGCATATTGTCGTCTGATCGTCTTCTTGCACCCTAATTAGATTAATTCCATTATGTGATTATGATAAACAAACTAAACCTTACTCCAATAAATTCATAGTCGAGAACTAAATACTTATTTTGAACAGGTGAAAATGGGAAATACGAACAGGGATATGATATGGTAAGTGGATAGATTGTGTATTTGTGAATGACTGTAAAGGCAGTTTCTTTAGATTCCCAGGTGATATTGTTGTGTCTTTTTTATTCTTTGTAATGTTCTTTAATAATTTTATAGTTATGAGGCAAAGGTGAACACAACCAGTGATGGGAATAGTTGTAGAGTCGAGGCCTCTGCCCAGGAGCGAGCACAAGAAGTTCAGGCAAATCTGCCAGCAAACTTCCCGAGTTTTGTTAAGCATATGCTCAAATCACATGTTACTGGAGGATTTTGGTTGGTTAGTTCAAATTCAGCATGGCGCTGCAAAATCCTAACAGTACTGGTTTTTATATAAAATTGTTCACAGTGCTTCTAAATTCCAGGGTTTGCCGAAGCCATTTTGTGATGCACATTTGCCAAAGCATGATGAAACAGTCATTTTGGTGGACGAAAATGGAGAAGAATATAGTACCAAGTACTTGATCGGAAAAAATGGACTGAGTGGCGGGTGGAGAGGCTTCTCCCTTGCTCACAAATTGCTGGAGGGAGATGTCTTGGTTTTCCAATTGATCCATCTTTGCAAGTTTAAGGTATCTCTTATGAATATGACTTTTGTTTGGGGGGTTTCTATTTGACACACTGCGTTTTGATTTTCTTCAAGGTATACATTGTGAGAGCAAGCAGATTAACAGAGATTGACGGGGCTATTGGTCTTCTAAACTTGGATTTTTATGTCAACCCGATTGATGCAAGTACGTTCGTCTACTTCTCAATGTTTCTTTGCTAGAATACTTTCCAGGAAATAATACGTGAACTGTTTCACTGAAAATGATATTAGTGAAAATAGATGATCAAGTGGAAGAAAGAGCGATGATTAGTGAAACAGCAGGGTTGATTGAATTGGCGGCTTCTGCCATAGACATTCATGAAGAGAAAAGAACGGCGATATTAGTTTCTAACAGCGAGCCTGTAGCAGATCGATCTGGGAATGAAAGTGATGAATTTGAATTTGGTTCCGTAGTTATGGATGGCATCAGATTATCAGAATCTTCTGTCGACTTTAAAGATGTGAAAAGTTTCCAAGATTTCCACATTCATGTGAATGGCTTAGTATTAGACTCGGAGATACCACAGCATCTTCAGACAAAATATTATGAGCTATGCTGCAGCCAAAAAATGTTCCTTCACGATCATCTTATCGAAGGCCTTAACAGTAAATTAGTTGCCGGAATGATTTCCGAAACTATTAACATTGCTGATGCTATAAGAGCTGCCAAGATCACCCAATCTCTTCATCATTTGGAAAGTTGGGACAAAACTTTAAAAGCTTTCGAGGATTTAGGTATGGAGGTTGGATTTCTACGTGCAAGGCTACTTAAGCTAGTAAACCTTTCACGTCAATCCATGGCGATTATTGAATCTAAGAATAATGAAAGGGCTTTAGTAGAAGAAGATATTAGAGATCTTGAAGGAAAACTTTTGCAGGCGAAACGGTTGATGAAACATTTAGAGAATGAAATTGAGGCCTTGAAAAAGAACGACGAGAAGCTTGCCGTAATCTTTAAGGAGTTTGCGGCTGCTCCATGGTGAAAGTTTTCAACTAAATCATCCATGGAGTCTTGTTTTTGTTGAGCTGCAGCATGTCCTGCACACTTTTGATGATTGGGGTAGAAGTTAACCATATGAAAATATTTGCGAAATGTAACAAATCTATCCTCAACGTTTTTTTGGTATAATCCATCCCAAACTTTCAATTATGTAGCAAAATGTATCATTTCCCTATACGTGCATGCACCAATGTTTGCCAAATTATTATTGTTTCAAACGACACATAACATAAGAGTATTATGAACTATACGTAAGTCACCTTCACGCACCACTCAAGTTGTTCGCCGTGCTTAAACATTATGTCCTCATAATTTTGCCAAGTTTTGACAAAATGATGGGTCAATGCAGACAACAACCTGCAAAGTGTTTCGATCTAAAACATTAAAGCATCCAAAAGGAATCATAAAAGAAACAATCCAATAGGTTTTTACCTTGCCAACACTTTTGCCCGAGTGAAGATAGTCAACGGCATTAGGAACAGAATGAACACCTAAAAATGGTTTGGGGTCTAAAGCAACCTGTTACACAGAGACCGAGTACCCTAAACTAACATGCATAAACTGAAAAATTTCTTCGATAGATAATGGTAGCTCATCGTTCAGAATAGCCATCGAAACTTCTCGATGCCCTCAAAATCCAAAGAAATCTGAGTGAAAAAAGAAAGGATGATAAAAGCAGATTTACCTTGAGCTTCCCCGAGTTATAAAGATGGAATAGCTTATCTAGATGCTGTCGCCACAGATAATCATATTGTACTAAGAAAAAGCCAGCCTGAAATAGAATGTATATTGAATATCATATCTTCTAATTTAATCCTGAGAAGGTATTCTTGTCTTGAAACAAATTCAAATACTAAGGAATCAATGCGTTGAACTTATTAAGATGTAGCATACCACAGTCTGGCTCCTTGCTAGAAGCTTCTCACACAGTCCCATATAATTTTGTGGTTTCCACCCATGTTCTCCTTGATACTAAAACCGATAAACTATTTATAATAAGTAAAGAGATAGAAACAGAGATTGAAAGTTAAAACGGGGAAGAGAAATGCTAGCTATTTTTTTTTTTATCAAAGGTGGATCAAATTGGGGCAGAAAATGAAGAGAACATTGTCAATGGGCTTGGAGTAAACTTGGAACCTGAGAAACCATTCCAATCACAACAAGTTGTCCATATGTAGCCAAAGCATTCAAGCACAGATCAAACATTTCCCCACCGACAGATTCGTAGATTATGTCAACACCTTTAGGGAACTCGGCCTTTAGAACCTGGGAAAAATGGAAATAAATTATAAGATTAAAACCTAATGCATTGCACACTCAAATGGCAAGATGAAGCAAAAATTTCACTTCTGATTAGTGAAAGCCAATAAATAAATAATTTTTCAGAGAATTACGGTTTTGATATTTTCTGTTTTATAGTCAATGACTCGATCAACTCCCAAATCCTTTAAAAGCTTGGCCTTGTCTCTGCCTCCACAAGTTGCAACAACCTTATTTCCAGCTAGCTTGGCCAGCTGCATTAAGACATATTACATCACAGTAAAAACCTATAAAATATAACAGGAGGAATATATTGATCTCCTAAAACACCCAATCATGGATATAATTTGAGGAATTTGAAAAGGAAGTTCCTTGGTATAAGGTTTAGGATATGCTTTATTTCAAGCTGACTTCGAAATGCTTCCAATCGAAAACAATTAGAAACTCTTTTGGAAAACATTCTTGTATGATAAAAAGTGTACCTGGACGGCAAACTGCCCCGTCCCTCCTGCTGCTGCGGTGACAAGAACTACTTTTCCAGATTCCATTTGTGCTGCCTGCAAAATGAACAAAGGAAAAAAGACAATTAGCAATGTAATTCTATGTTCAAACTATGTTCGAAAACGCAGCCCACAAACACAAACGAATTCTCTTCCACTAGCTATAAAGGCTGAACATTTATGATCAGAATGTAGTCCATTTACAAAGTAGGGAGTGAAATTGCGGATGAAATAAAATAATAACGAGAATAAGAAAAGAAAATATCAAAGATGAGGGGAAATAATACCTTTTCTAGAGCTATGGATGCTGTTAGTCCAGATGTGAGCATGGCAACAACTTCTGGATCTGGTCTTGCCACGGGAAGGATATGTTTTGAGGCTACCTAAAACAAGGAGAAGCCTATTCGTATTATTACCTTCAGATAAAGGTTAAAAAAGACAGAATAAAGGTACTGCCATATCCAGAAATCTAACAATTGGAAATGTTTTACCAATGTGAATTCGGCATAGCTTCCAAATGTCATAATTGCAGCAGGAGTGCCAACTTTTAAATGTTTAACGGAATCACCTATAGCAGCTATTATTCCCACCGCCTGTATATAAGAAAATTACAAATGTGAATCCCCACGAAAGGATCATCTGAGCTTGGATAATCAAAACGTTCCTGCTCCAGAAACACAAAAAAAATGGCATTATGATTCCTAATTTTATTGAAAATAGAAACAAGCATTAAATGATGGGCAAAAGTGGATATTATTTAGAAACAGTCCAAAATAGAAAGAAAATATTTGTTTGGAGAAACAAAACTGATTACACGATGTAGAAGAAACGACGTTCAGCACCCCAAATCTTAACAATGAAATAGATAATTGGATATAATTGAAAAAACATAGACATAGGAACCACATGAAGACTTTCAGGTTGCGACTCAGAATCAGTGCTTATCAGAAGTCATAAATAGAATAACATAATTGATGCTAGACTAACCTACTTCTGAAATAATCATTAGTTATCATTATTAACTAACAAATAACTTAGGATTCTTTCCTGACCTCAAAGCCAGCATCAAATGGAAGGCGGGATACAATGTCTTTGTTGTTCCCACTGAAATACCGTCCTGAGCTGAAATTCACCTGTTAAGAAATGCTTTGCATTATTACACATGTCTAGTTAAATAGAGGTTAATCACTGTATGAAATATATGTGTATTTTGAGCGTGCCCTTCTACTCATCAATCTAATCAAAATTGGAACTATGATGATTGTACAAGTCCAACCAACCAAGCAAACAAACAAAACATGCCAGATGCAATGCTCAATTTGCATATATTTACCATAAGACGGCAAGGAACACTGGCTTCTTTTCTTATTTAAAAAATTTGGACACTGAACTTAGATATCTTAATTTCTTTCAAATATAAAAAATACCAAAATTTAGATATCAGAATAATAAACTTACATCACTAGCATTGACACCGGCATAAATGATTTTCATGAGAACATCATCTGGTTTCAGTGGCAATCTCAAAGGAGCCCGTTCCATAATTGTAGCACTTCAAAAGTTGTGACTCAGAGTGTGAACAATTCTAAGGGACAAGATCGAAGAAATACATATAAAAAAATCAAATCAAATGAGAGATTCTGTAATAAACTGAGCACACATGCCTTCTTGTGACCACATAGTAGTTTGTGGTGTTCACAAATACACATGGTCCAGCCAATGCACAATGCAAGATGCTGGAGACATGGTTTCTTACATCTTCTCAAAATTTTGGGGGATCTGAATATTCAATGGACCGTATCTGGAGATTCTCCCCTTGAAGTCTTGTATTTTGCTTTTTCTATAGGAGTTGGCCAATACTGCAAGCCCCTTCTGTTGGATATCCATAAGCAAGATCCAGATTTATTTTCATCACAAATCAGCTCAAAAGCACCTGCACAAGTTGGAAGTTAGAACGACAAATCTAGAAACAAAGGTTGCAATACAAAGAGTGCATAATACTTGCCACTAACTCTACTTGATTCAAAGTAATTCGAAATACAAAAAGTTTATCCCACATGGGTGAGTGATTGTTCTGCAAATAAACATTTTCTTATAACTGAATACCAATTACTTGAACATCATCTATAGAAGTCTTAAAATGACACTACAAAAAATTTCCGAAATAGCATAGACTAGGTACCCCCAGTTCAGTTCAATCTTGTTGCCTTAGCTTCCACTGAGCCTCACCCCAAACATCCAAAACGAAGGTAAGAAGAGGAAATAAGATAGCTCATGAACAATGTATGTCCACTAAGTATTGCATAAGAAGAACCTCTCAATTTTATTACCTGAGCCATGTTACCAGTATTTTAGAGTGAAAATCTGTCAAGGTGCAAGTTTTGCAACATTAATATTTTGCCATAAACATTTATCCCCAATTTCTACTGTATAATGTAGACAGGTAGTTGTTTAGAGAAGAAATGAGAATTCATTTTTTGATAAAATAAGTAACGCCTAGAAGTTGTGATTTTACCCCAGTAGTTTATCATCTCGTGACTCAAACAATATCTAGATTCTAAAATGGTGGCAATTAATCATGCCCACACATTATAGGTTTACCACTACATTTAGCTATTTAATGAAGTTGCATACTGTGAAATACTGTTCTTAAATTTATTTAGAAGGTAAATGAGAAGGGACCTTCGCTCTTCCTCTTTCCTTTAGATTTTTGGAAAGGAAAATGATGGTTGTACACCATGCTATACACTCCCCTCACATGTGAGGGGGGCCCACTATGAATAAAAAATTTGTGGACCCCTCTATGTGAGGGGAGTGTATAGCATGGTGTACAAGCATGATGTACATGTAGCAAGTTCCTTTTGGAAATGTATTACTTCGGCTGTTCTGTGACACGTAATTGGTTTGGCAAAATAAATTGCAAAAGTTTACCTTTCAGTACCATTTCCATAGGTATGAAACCACCCGACAGCTCAATAAATTTAGGATCCATCTTCAAAGCCAACTCAGTTTGAACAAACTGTGGAAAAGAGTTAACAGCCACTTGATTGACTCTTAAGAAAATTCACAGCAGTGACTATTGCTACAACAGCTCAAACAATTACAAATCAAGAGAAAATTGGATATCCTATAGAAATCCCACTTCACTTTCGAGATGATAGATATAAGATAAATTTATATCTGGTCAAAATGTGAATTACAGTATTACTTATTGATGCATGAGGAAGTGTAAACAAACATAAATACGGAATTAAAAAAGCATTATTTGTGCATGGATAAGTGATTGGGTGGCTATTTGAAGAACAATCTTCAATGACTTTTGAAAATATAATATTCAAAAACAATCGACCCTAATAATGAACACATTGAAGTGTTCAAATAGAAGCAAAATACAAAACCTAACCTAATTAAGGAAGATAAAACTTCTAATGACTTGAAGAACATAAACTCTGAATAGATTAAGGAACGTACACCTTCATTACTTATCTAGTTAATGCGAGTGGAAAATAATAGATATTATTTCACAGTGGGAGTTTAACACTGAAAGAAGCAATTCATGTAGCTTGTCGAATTTGGTTGATTTATTCATTTCCTTTTTCACAAAAGAACCAGATCTTGGCAGTCGACAAATTATGCTTGGATTAGAGTGTACAGAGCAAACATATAGTTCATTTTACAAGACTAATTTCCATTTCCATTGCAAGAAATTAAGACAAGCAAGCAGCAAAAATATGTTCTTGGTGGAGGTGGGAAATAATTATTGTTTCCTTCTGTTGAACAAATTTAAAAGCCAAACAAAATAAGCTACATGACACACCTCAGGGCAAAGTGCATTGATTCGGATCCCTTGGCTCTTGTAAATAGCAAGTGATCTGGTGAATAGGATCACTCCGCCTGCGGAACTTTTTGTCATTCATTGGACCAAAAATTGCACTAAAATATGCATGGAAAAGTATAGACAGAACAGAAAGGTCGATTAAATCATAAATATATTTGGGGAAGGCAATAGAAAATCAATTATATTGACTAGCAAAGAACAACAAACCTTTGGAACCAGAATAAATAGGATCAGTATACAGTGGGTAGAGTCCTGAAGCAGAGGCAATGTTAATGATTACACCAGGTTTTCTAGCCTCTCGCATTGTTTGAATCTGCACCATATTAAAATTACAGTGTTAAAGAATTAACCATGATTCCCCAATTTACAGTCAATGTCGATAAATTATTTCCTCAGCTCAATATAGGCTTACTCAATTCAATTTCATGAATACGTATGACGACCGTAATTCCAACGAAACTGAGAATTAACAGATTTAGAAACATACCGCAATCTGCGTGCAATCAATGACTGCAATGAGGTTGACATTAACAGTAAGTCTCCAAGATTTACCGCCATCAGTCCGGTCCTTATCAAAAGGAATCGAACTTCCAATTCCCGCACAGTTAATACATATGTCCATTCCTCCATATGTATCTATATGCTTCCTAAAAGCCGCTTTTATTTCATCTGTTCATTGCAAAAAAGAAGAAGAAAATATGCAAAACTTCTCATTACTAGCATTAGATTACATGCGAAATAATCTGAATTGTGACTACTCACTTGTGTCAGTGACATCACATTTGATGAATACAACCGGTGGAAATTCCGGTTTCGCGCGAAAATTCAAAAATTCAGTTTCGGCTAATGATGCAACTTCCTTTCCTTTCTCTTCTGATAAATCGATTATTGTAGTGAAAATTCCTTTCTGCGCGAGCGCTACAACGAGTGCTTTGCCGATGCCGGAGGCCCCGCCGGAGACTAATGCCGAGAGGCCAGGCTTGAGCTCCATTTCCGTTGACAGGGACGGGGAAAAAGATGATGTGATTATCTACATAAATTAATTCATACTTATTGGATTTAACGTCAGTTTGGATGTACGGTCGTTTTATTCTTCTGTCGAGTGGCCGGTGAAAGATTCGATAGCGGCAATAGAAATTTTCTGGTTATTTACAATTCACCCCTCCATATTATGATAATGTAAAAGTGACCCCTTAAGTTTACTTTTTGTTAGTTTTTACACCAAACTTGAAAAATCAATAACTTTAGATTGTATTTTCGTCGTTTCAAATTCAAAGATTTTTATTTCATGTTTGTGCCATACCATTTGGTTTAAAATTTTCAACGATTATGCACACATCTAACCTTCTTATCCGTTAAGAAATTATTGTTCAATTTTTTGGCATCTTAGCCCCACTAGAAGAATCTAAAGGACCGGGTAGACTAGTCCTATGACATACTCGACCTATTTTGGCTGAATCTAGGCTCAGCGCATGTCGATATATGGGTCGAGCCCTCTTTATTAAAAAAAAAATTACTGTAATAACATATTTCACTACTCTTTTAACTTCTTGAGCAGAGTTGAAATTGACAGATAATCAACTCCACTTCTCCAATTTAAGATGAGAAAAATCAAACACATACATATTAATTAATTATTACAGTGAAATGCTAAAGTGCAAACATTTGTACAAACTTCAACAGTTAACACAAATACCACATGTCCCAGATGAAGGATGATAATCAACAGATCCCTGTATCTCAGCATTTATCCAAATTCTGTCATTAGTTTTTTTTCTCTAAATCCAGCAGAAAAAAAGAGTCAAAAATCTTCTTCATCTTCACCAGTTGGATCCTGTAACACGAAAATCAAACCGATAAGAAAAACTGTACTGTAATGAATCAAATGGTCGATAAAAAAGATTTATGTAGTTGACCCAAAAATTATTAAGAATAAGAACCGAACTGGTGGCGAAAAGATCCCATGTTTACCTTTCAAGTTGGCATAAATTTGCTTATGGAATAGATCATCAGTTCTTTCCATAACTCCACTTTTATCAGCTTTCTTAGGTACAATGTGTGATCTCTTTAATCTCTCCTTCCAAACGCAGGTACCTTTAGGTAGTCTTGGTGATACATTATCATAATCATCATCATCAACAAGGAGTTCATCTCTAAGGGTGGTAGTTTTAGTGCAATTTTCCTTCAAGGGCAACAATTTGCCCTTGGAGAAAAGCTCATCAGCAGAAATTATGGCGTTATTAGAGATAGAAAACTCGAAATCAGACGACACGGGGGCTTCCCTATAGCTGTTTTCTTGCTTCATCACTGGTAAAGGATCAGCAAAATCATTGGAGAATGAGATTCTTGGATTGTAGAGGCCTTGTTGTTGCTCATTCTTGAGCATGTTTAAGAATGCCATGAGAGAGTATTCTCTTTCAGGTCAACTGTACACTTCACCAGCAATATGCTAAGCCTTTATATAAGAGACTCTCGAACCACTTCGTCTCACAATTTAAGCTCTTAAAGACGATCTGATGGACTACTCGAGTCTGAAATATGGTCAAAAGCTGGAGTCGTAAGAATTAGACTGGGTTCGCGAACTTACATGACTCGGGCACATGAAATTTAATTTCCGCTTTTGATAAATAAATGACGGTGAGAGTTAAAGTCCAGGTCTAAGTTTGCTCTGATTCTTGAACCATCTTATCTAAAATAAACTATGTATTAATGGAGGCTTGTTTCATGTGCATGTCGTGTGTAGAAAAAGTCGAGTTGAAAGCAAAGTGGACAGCCATTATAGAGTTCTTTTTTAATCTTATTCAGATCTGTCTTACAGTGAGTCACGCAGGATACTGAATCCACCTTTTTTCTATCTATGCTTTTCTTTCCCACTTTTATGTTTTTAAAATTAGAAAAAAATTGTAAGACTTATTAATATAATTGGCAGACATGTGAATCCTACATTTGAATAACAGTTTCTCTAATGTTCCTCCTGGTACATGTTCTCCCATGACTTTGATAATTGAACAGATTCGTCTCCTTGAAAATTATGCAAAAAATGCATATGGATAAGGTATCGGTTCTTCATGAATTTAATTCCATGTTGATATTTCTGCTCGGCCGATCATCGAGGTGCTTCTTTCCGCGTGGAAGAAAATATAGATTACGTTCGATTTTGTTGGAATATTCCACTTGTTCACCAGTTCACCAGCAAACCAGCCTCTCCAGTTCAACAGCCTCTCTCCAGTTCAGCAAAATCAGCAGCTCACACATTCCAACTCTTCTTCCAGCTTCCAGATTCTAGCTTCTTCTAGTTCCTTCTTTAGTTTGTTATGTTGTTAGTTTGTTAGCTACTTTCTCTATAAATAGAATAGTTTGTATTGTAATTTCTTTAAGTTGATTGAATGAAATATTCATCATCTTCCATGCCTTATTCCAGCAAGTCTATCCCTTTATTTTCTTCCTGCATTATATCAAATTTCCAATTTCGTTTATCCTTGATTTTATCATGGTATCAGAGCAGGAAAAAAAAAAGAAAAAAAAAATCCCTTTATTTTCAGTTCGTTTTTCTACAGTTATCGTTCTGAGAAATGGAAATTCATGAAAACTAAAGAGAAAAGTTCTAACAGGATAGTGGCTTAGCTCACACTAGATGCTCGACGAAATGTCGGAACGGATTTCTTCCTCTTTGAGGATTGAGGGTATTAGATCAATTACCAGAAAGATCATCTACTATTCAGTTCTGAATTGATTTCCCAGACGAACCGTCTGCAATTTTGGGGAAGTCTACCAAATGATTGAAAATTCTCAATCAGATTCTCGATCAAAGGACAAAGCAGTCCACCCAATTGAACCTTTATGAAGTTTCCAAATGTAGCAGTTATCAAAGCTGCGAAGAGATGATGAAATAATGATCAAGACGAAATTGAATATGCTGTACTGCAGAAAACTAAAACTGAGAACTATAGAAATCGGAAATTGAATATAGAACCTGCTGGAATGGCAGGCTTCTCAAATATTCACAAAACGGTTGATTTTATCTTTCGAATCAAGTGATGAAGATTTTGAAGTTCTCAAAAGAGAAGGAAGATAAACTGTGAAAAAGCAGACAAAGTGTCTCCTGACAAAACTCCATTAGCTCAAAAATGAAATGGAGGCCAATGATGAAAACCCGACAGAGAATGAGCATGGGTCTAAAAGAACTGACAAAAATGTAATTGATAGGGACACAATCAATGCACCTGCTGATCAAACAAGTTCTATAGGTGCAAATGTTAAAAGATCAGCACCACAGATCAGCACCATGAACGAACTGTGAAAGAGAATTTGGTAAAGGAATTAGAGCTCACAATCCAGCAGGTTACCAAATGGTTTGAGAATACCCGTTGGAGTTTTAACCATAGACCACAAATGGAATTGAAGAAAACTGAAACTGATTCAAAACAAGGAACTTCCTTGATTGCATCTCTACTCTTCTCTCTACGGTTCAAGATGTTCCATCTTGAGAGGGGAGTATTGGAATATTCCACTTGTTCACCAGTTCACCAGCAAACCAGCCTCTCCAGTTCAACAGCTTCTCTCCAATTCGGCAAAATCAGCAGCTCACACATTCCAGCTCTTCTTCCAGCTTCCAGATTCTAGCTTCTTCTAGTTCCTTCTTTAGTTTGTTATGTTGTTAGTTTTTAGCTACTTTCTCTATAAATAGAATAGTTTGCATTGTAATTTCTTTAAGTTGATTGAATGAAATATTCATCATCTTCCCTGCCTTATTCTAATAGGTTTATTTTCTTCCTGCATTATATCAGATTTCCAATTTCATTTTTATCCCTGATTTTATCAGATTCATTGTTACATCTATTAAAAGATCCAAAATAACTAACTCAAACTGAAAATTTTATATATACACGAATGCATGCCTGTTCAAACTCGCATTTCCACAATAAGAAACTTGTTAGGGTTTATTCCACACGCCACACTCACACAGCTTTTGCATGAAGGAAAGACAGCAAAGTTTTGATAACTTCAAAACGAGTTCCACTTCTCGATTATGCATTCGAGACAATCGAAAAATTATTCGTGCATCAATGACAAAATAGACTAAAAACTTCACTCACTCAAAGACCTTCTCATATATCTAGAAATTATTTTGGTTCAAATAAACTTATCTAGACTAGTACATTAAGAGGTAGTATAATGAACAAGTTTATTTTTTTGAGTACTATCTATTGCACCTATAAATTAAGTGACAAGTTAAGACGGAAGAAGTCTCATATATGCCAATTTGATATCGACTATTTAATTGATTGTGCCAATTTAATTGAACAATTACATTTTGGGCTTTAATTTGGGCCCATTTCACTAAATCCACTTAGCCCATTTCATTTCTCTTTATATATGTGAATCTACTTGACACTTGAGGTATATATTACAACCTTAGCCAAACCCCCTTTCCTGTCTCTTGCACTCATTTATCTATCGTTTGACAGTTGACTTGACAAAAGGGATCCCACATTGGTTAACTCGACATTGATTATTTGATTGGATTGTACCTACTAAATCAAGTAACCTCTTTTTGGGCCTGAATTGGGTCGGTCCACTACCTCACTTGGCCCATTTCCACTTCTCCTATGTCTGTGTGTGAGTTCATTATTCACCAAAAGTATGAAATCTCTAACCCTAACTAAATTCCATTTCTCTTTCTTGCATTCATATTATCTTTTGTTCGGTCGTTAATTTGATCACCGGAGTAAAAACGGTCGTCATTCGTCAACACTTTTTCTCGATGACGACCTTTACTTCCTAACAGGGTATTCTAATATGCATGTGATGCTCATGTGAAGTGGAGATGATTGAGATTCTGTTGGTGCATTTTTTTAGATGAACACTATCTAATCCTCGTTTATGACTTGTATTATACACAACTGCACTTAATTTATTACAACTCATAGTGCATATAGTTTTGCCTCAGAACAATTCCCATGGAACATGTGCAGTTAGAATCCTTCCCTTTGAAGTCTGACAGACACTCAAAAAACAAACTTAGTTTAATTATTGGATTTTGACCAAGTGAAAGAGATTCCACCTTTCATGGTTGGCTACAACCTATCCTTCTCACATGGTTAAGTGGACTCTCAACAGGTGGCTGATTCCTTCATATTCTTGGTAAGTGTCTTCCCTTCAGTTCCCATACAGTATTGTTTTGATAGGCCATTAGATATTGGATCAGAGAAACTAGAATCTTTAGCCTATGTTTTGATCTAATCACTTTTTGGTTTTTATTCCCACATTCCACAAGAAGTTACTTATTCCTTACTCCTTTTTATCAATTACAATTTAAATTATTTATAAACACTTTCCCTTTGGTTGGATGTATGGATTCGTGAGGCGAAAGAAATTCATCTTCGTCTTCCACTTTTGGAAGGGCAAATCTTCACTTTCTCTTGTAGCTTTTATAAAAAATGGCATGCGTTTTGACAAATGCTGCTTCCCCATGACAATTCGTATGCCCACTTAGTCTCCATTTGACAAATTTATAAATGATTTATAAAGAAAAATACTAAGTCAATAACAGTAAGTTATTAAAATACATAGATAATAATTGTTGGTAGTTATGAACATATGGTTGAAACTAATGATTGATTTTGATTGAATCTATGAATTACTTATAAATTCATATCGAAATGGAAGCTTATGAATTCTCTTTAAACTTTTTCCTCGGTCAAATGATACGATTTTTGGTTCAGTAAGGAGATAATTTAATGATTATGCATTTTAATTTTAGGTAGTCATAGTCAGCAAGGTAAATGTGCAAATTATGAATTTCACCGTATAAGTGGATATGAATCATGCTGGACTGTCAGGGAGGGTTTGACACCCTCCCTTACAAGCCCCTCACAACATGCGCGGGGGGGGGGATTCATATGGGCCCCGCATGGGTCCCATCACAAATGTGAGAGGATGTCAATCAAATTGTCAAATTTATTATGGCAAAATGGCATTTTCGAGTTGATATTTCCGTCAAGTGGGACTAATCGATTTTATTGCAATGATGAATGGGTAATAATTAAAATAGATAAGGCATGTATAACTTTTTTATTAGGAAGTAAATGGTAATCTAGGACAAAATCCAATGGCCATTTATTTAACTAACTCTCAACGTCATCGCTATCAAGTATAAATTAGTCCGGGTCAGGCCCAACCTCAATCCTCCAGTCCAGCCTGAAAGAAAATGGTAAATACCCATGTAAAAAGGGGCCGAATTCAACCCGGAATGACTAATTAACCCGTTTAAAGTCATCTTTATCTTGATATGCACGCAGGTATACAGTATACTATGACTTCTTAAGTGGGTTTTATCACTGTCTAGGGTTTAAGCTATAATTTGCAGAGCAAAAATGGCGTCATCTCTATTGTTCATTCGCAGAGCTCGATTTTCAACCATTCTCAATTTCTCATTCAATAAGGAACGCCCTTCAATTCCCTTCATTTCTAATCCCAAAACCCTAAAACTATGTCCCTCGCTCCCCATCCTCAGAACCCTTTCCACCTCGGCTTTCTCAGAGAATTTGCAGAGGCCAAACCCTCAACCCTCCGATCCTTCCTGGAATTTGAATCACAATCCTGACAATCAGTGGATCCAGCAGAACAATAATTTGGGAAATCCCAATTCGAACAATAATTACAGTACTAATCCGACGAATCGGGGCTATACGAATCCTGGAGTTTCTAGCCCGAACCCTAATTTCCCCCCTCCTCATAACCACAACTATCGACCTTCGAGTGGAAGTGTTAACCAGTGGAACAACAACAATCAAAATCAGCTGTACCCACAAAACCAAAACCCTAATTGGAGCGAAAGTTATCCTCAACAAGGGGGGTTTCAAAATCAGGGTTCTCCGCAAAACTTTAGTCAGAGGCAAAATTATCCACAGCCTGGAGGTGGGAATCATAATCAGGGGTATTTACATAGGCAAAACCCCAATCAGTGGGGATCACAAGATCAGAATGCTGTGAATAGTCGAGTTCAGCATCAAGGGCAGTTTGAAAATAATCAAGTCCCTGGTGCAGGTGGTCCTCCTGCTGCTGCTGTTGATTTATTGAGTCTCTGCCGTGAGGGTAAGGTTAAGGAAGTAATTGAACACATGGAGCAGGGGTTGCGAGCTGATGCTGAGTGTTTTAGCTTGCTTTTTAGTTTGTGTGGGAACTTGAAAAAAATTGAGGATGCTAAGAAAGTGCACGATTACTTCTTGCGGTCAACCTTTAGGAGCGATCTTCTGTTGAACAATCAGGTGCTTGACATGTACTCAAAGTGTGTTAGTATGACAGATGCCCGGAGAGTTTTTGATCATATGCCCGATCGGGATATGGATTCTTGGCACTTGATGATCAATGGGTATGCAGCGAACGGGCTGGGTGATGATGGGTTGGCTTTGTTTGAGCAGATGAGGAAGTTGGGGTTACAGCCAAATGGGGAAACCTTTCTTGCTGTTTTAGAGGCCTGTGCTAGTGCTGAAGCTATTGAAGAGGGTTTCATACATTTTGAGTCTATGAAGGCTGATTATGGAATTCCTCCTGGGATCGAACATTATCTGGGGCTTCTTGGTGTACTTGGGAAGATTGGACATCTTGCTGAGGCAGAGGCTTTCATTGAAACTCTCCCATTTGAACCCACAGCTGTTATTTGGGAAGCATTGATGAACTATGCTCGGATACATGGGGATATTGACCTTGAAGACCATGCCGAGGAATTGTTAGTCAGTCTTGATCCTTCAAAGGCTGTTGCCAATAAGATCCCCACTCCTCCACCAAAGAAGCATTCTTCAATTAATATGCTAATTGGGAGGAACAGGATTCTGGAGTTCCGTAACCCTACCCTCTACAAGGATGATGAGAAGTTAAGGGCCGCAATGAAAGAGCAAGCTTATGTGCCCGACACCAGGTATGTTCTTCATGACATTGACCAGGAGGCAAAGGAACAGGCACTACTTTACCATAGTGAGCGTTTAGCAATTGCATATGGTCTAATTAGCACTGCTCCAAGGACAACTCTTCGGATAATCAAGAACCTACGAGTCTGTGGTGATTGTCACAATGCTATCAAGATCATGTCCAGGATTGTTGGGAGGGAATTAATTGTCAGAGACAACAAGCGATTTCATCATTTTAAGGATGGAAAATGCTCTTGTAACGATTATTGGTGATTCTCCCAATGGTCAAAGCTTGCAATATATGGTTTAATGATTATATCTCCAAGGTGACCAGGAATGTCTCAATGCCATCGAGATAGTCGCCAATATCAGGTAAAACTTTTGTGCAGAGAGTGACAATGACATTGTTTCCTTGTTCGAGGGATTGTAAGTTTCTTTGTGAGCTTGTTGGCTCAGTTATAAAAGTTTCAAACTTTTCCTGCCAGTTAACTACGAGTTTCACCTCCCATCAGCATTTTTAGCTTGTATAATGCGTACTATTAAAATTTAAGAGTTTTAACTATTTATTCTGTGCTTTTTTCTCACATGTATACAGCTATTATACAGTAAATTCATATTTGCTACCATTTTCACGTGCTTAACCAAGCTGTATCATTTTCATTCAGCTTCCGTAGAACTTGCTGTCTTGCTGAAAGACATGTTATGATTATTATGAAACCTTTATTTCATAGTTTTTGTAGCGTCTCTCGTGAGTAGGTTTAAGTTTGAGTTCATGATGCAGTTTTTAGCATTCACTACTCAGGATGGGTCCATGTGCTTCCTTACTTTACCTATTAGTGTATGGTGATCCTAGAAGCCATGTTAAGCATGTGATCACTCACCTGATATTCGGGGTCAGAGGTCTTTGTTATAAAAGGAAGTGAACTTGAGTTTCTTATGATTAAAATGTTATGTCAAATTCCTATTGACAGGGTACTATATTGTGCTTTATCTAGCAAACAATGCCAAGAACTCGGGTTCTGAATCGATATGTGCACAAGTGGACTCATCTCCAATTCAGTTACTCTGTAAGCTCTTCTCTACTTATATATAGTCATGTAGAGATTTGGTTTAGAGGACTTCAGTTACTCTCGTGATGTGCTTCATACCTTCTTCAGTCCGTAGACCTGCCTTATCAAGAGTATCCGCAATTCAGGGTGTAACTCTGCCCTTGACCCTTGTATCTTTGCCAGCCCAGCCACCATCAAACATATGAACCAGACCATTTTACCACTTTATGCAGGACCCTGCGATCACCACTGCCAACGCAGGCAACACGGAGCATTTAATTCTTGAGGTATCTTGTAATGTGATTCACAGATAAAATCAGGTAGCCCAGGTTTACTTAAGAGCTTACAGGAAAATCAATTATAGAGAATATTATGATCATCAAACGCGGAGACTGGCATATAATCTGCCCAACATGTTCAATTGATGGCGAAACAGGCATATGATGTCCCCAATGTATGAAATTTACAGCAAAACGTGTCATCTGCACATGTAAATTGCATCCTAGGTTGGAATGCCGCTCTCAACCTCAAGCAAATAGTAACACAATTACAATGTAATACCATTTCACGAATGAAATAGAGGTAACTGGAAGAATACATTATCAGTTCTAGGACAAGTTAGAATGCGCTTGTATTTGTCATTGAAAATATTTCCTCCGACAGATATTAATAACATAAATTTGATTGGCTGTGGTAGAAAAAGTACAAAAATGTTGCTACTAATCTATTTGTGCACAAGTGGACTCATCTCCAATTCAGTTGCTCTGTAAGCTCTTCTCTACTTATATATAGTCATCTAGAGATTTGGTTTAAAGGACTTCAGCTACTCTCGTGATGTGCTTCATACCTTCTTCAGTCTGTAGACCTGCCTTATCAAGATTATCCGCAATTCAGGGTGTAACTCTGCCCTTGACCCTTGTCTCTGTGGCCAGCCCAGCCACCATCAAACATATGAACCTGACCATTTTTTTATGCAGGACCCTGTGATAGCCACTGCCAACACAGGCAACACGGAGCATTTAATTGTTGAGGTATCTTGTAATGTGATTCACAGATAAAATCAGATAGCGTCTTCCCAGGTTCACTTAAGAGCTTACAGGAAAATCAATTATAGAGAATATTATGATCATCAAATGCGGAGACTGGCAAATAATCTGCCCAACATGTTCATTTGACGGCGAAACAGTTATATGATGTCCCCAGTGTATGAAATTTACAGCAAAACGTGTCAACTGCACATGTAAATTGCATCCTAGGTTGGAATGCCACTCTCCACCGCAAGCAAATAGTAACACAATTACAATGTAAAACCATTTCAACAATGAAAGAGAGGTAACTGGAAGAATACATAATCAGTTCTAGGACAAGTTAGAAAGCACTTGTATTTGCCATTGAAAATATTTCCTCCGACAGATAATCTCAACACAAATTTGACTGGCTGTGGTAGAAAAAGTACAACAATGCTGCTACTATAAGAATTATTCATCCAAAAGATAGGGTACCATAAAAACGGCATCAACATCAAGGTGGTTTTCCATTACTGTCCAAGTCCTCCATCACATCAATATCGCTGCGTGCTGTTATCTTTTGCACATATCCTGCAAAGACGGATATGCCGGCATTGTGATTACGGTCGACAGCCATATTTTTAAGTTGTAAGAAGATGACAAACAGAGTTTGCAAATCAGACTACTACCTGCAGCTAAAAAGGTTTCTCAATAGCTGTAGTAGAATGACAGAGTAATTTGAAACGATTAATAGGCCCCGTCTGGTGGCCATTCTTTCCAAGAAAAAAAGTTTCGAATAATGTGTTTTTTTTTAATGTAAGGTTAAGAAGTAGGGAAAAATTGGATTTGCGTGCATGATATTTTATTGTCTAAATGTGGTTGAAGATAAATATATAGAAAAATGAGTTTTAAAAGTACGAGAATCAAACCCGATAACTTGAACCACTAAAAATGTGCACTATAGACTGGATGCCAGTATGGAACTGGCAAATTCGTCTGTGTTTTTTAGGGAACTTGCACAATGGAAAAAAACCTCTGTCTAATCTAAAAAAGCATGAGCTTTGACAATGGAAGTAGGTAAGGAAAAAGTAGTACCAATGCCCATACAAGGTATGCATTTGCATATGGTCTCCTTCCCTCTTTTATTATAATAGCTGACCAGTCCGGTTCCTTGGCAGCTCCGACATTTTCCAGTCCATTCATAAACCATTGGCTTGCAATCCTGCAATTTCGTCGCACAGCAAAATTAATAAATTAGAAGAAATTTAATCCAATTAGAAGCATGTCAATTCAAACATCAGAAACGTTTATCAGAACCAAAGAATTTTGAAACTCTTTGGTTAAACAAAAAATATTGGAAACTCAGAGCCACGAGGAATATAGTCATTTCAACAACAGAACTGAATTTCAGTTATTTTAACATCAAAATCAATTCACACGTCATTTAGCCATCTTATCAATCGAGTGGACGACCCTCTTCCTTGACAGAGCAGCAGCATGTTCAATTAAAGAACAATGAAAAATAAAAAATAAAATAAAATAAAAACTCAAAACGGACCTCTATCACTGGATCGCACTGGAGCCTCCTTTCGATTTCCTCCGGCTGCACTGGGGAGGAGCCCGGGTGGGTCATCGGGAGAGGCAGGGCATCTTCATCGTCAGTCAAGTAGCTCTCATGGTCACGCGACCACTTCTCTTTCGCATTGATTTTCGTGTTCTTGCTATTATTATTGCTTGTAGTGGTAGCGCCAATATTATCGGACAATCTTTGGCCAATTCTGCCAGCAGCGTCGGAAACGGCAGCTGCAGGCAAATTCAACCACCACAGAGGGAACGTGCTCTTGGCCGTCGCTTGACACCGAAAAGCGGTGGTCGGTGGAGGAGGAGGTGGGGAGAAAATTTGGAATGTAGGCGGCTTTTTCGGGAGGGTGAAAATTGAACTAGGGTTTATTGGCAACATTCGAAATGAAACGAATTTTGCAGATTACCATATATGTGTGTGAATTGTATCTATGCTCATGAAGGAATGAAAATTTGTGCAGCAGAGGGAAGGTGAAGATAGGGTTTTGAAGACTATACAGTAGAGCTGAGCTGCCAGAAAAATTGAAATGGTGGATGCATATTTATAGCGTGCGCCATTTTTTACTATGTTTGACTGTGGACGCGTTTGAACATGAAGTTGCTTTATCTTACTAGAAAAATTTTGGAGCAAGTATAAAGTAACTTCTCCAGAAGCTTTTATACCCAAAAATAAAAAATATAAGCAAAATAGAAATTCTACCAAATGGGCTTGACATATTAAACACGTATTCTATCGAGTCTTTCTATACAGTTCGAGCATCTGAATGAAAGCCTCATTCATGAACATGAAGAATTGTCGTCTTCGTGTAACCAACACAAGGGCTAGCTTGCCCTTACGGATGGAGGGCTAGGAAAAGGGTCCAAAAGATACGTCGTTTGCGATGTCTTAAAAGAAATTTTACATCTTTTTTCTTGTTTCATCAATTGAAAATCATAATAAACCTAACATTATGGTGAGAGATGAAATTATTCATCTCCACTCAGAAATGCGAGTTTGCTTATCTGTTGAGATTTTTCAAACGGTACATTTTATTTATGCTTTCAAGTTGGTCCATTATGGATCTCCAAAAGAGTGAAATTAAGATGACAAATAGTCATGCATCATTGATAAATATTGGAATATTGGTTAATGCAAGTAGATGTTGTAGTACAATCAACCGCTGAAACAATAGCAGATAAAATAAATAAATAAATAAAAGCAAAATTTAAATATCTAAAGAACACTTCTCCACAGCCTAGTAGTTCTTATATTTTTTTTGGAAGACACCTATTTACACTTTAGCCTTGTACAACTTGTTGATTAGCAGAATGATGAAAAATCACAATGCACAAGTTACAGTATGAGAAAGAAAAAGTATACAAGCATTAATTGAATATAACTCTCCCTTCAATCCCTCCATGGTGACCGCTCGATCCAAAGCTTCTGGCCACCTTCCAAGCCAGTATAGTCATTTCTGATGTTCTACATTATTCTTCCTCTGACAGATGATTTACAAAAGAGAGCCTAAAACAAGAAAACATTTTAACTGCTTAGAAAGATAGAATTTGGTAGTATTCGATTAATATTTCTGCAGGTGTACAAGTGTTCATCACAGAAACCATTTAGTGATGATCCTAAAACCCGAACTCTTAGTTGGAATAATCAGTAAAGCGTTCTGAGATTAGGTCTTACTTAACGTTAACACCATCTTTCTTCGTCAGAGATGTCGGGGTGCTGCCATTGAATTTGTTGTTTTGGAGAAATCTGTAAATCATACCAAGGCGAGTTATTATATACACACTTGTAATCACAAAAATTTCATTGCATTGCAGACATTCTACAGAAGAACTTACATTTCATGCAGATTAGGTAATTCTTCCAGTGATTTAGGAACTGATCCTTCCAGTTGGTTGTTCTCCAAATGCCTTTCTCGACGTTAAAACAAAAATTAAGCAGAGGTATTAGGTCGTAATGAAGGTATTAAAAACACAACTAATTTAGAAGACTACGAGTGAAAATTGAAGAGCTTACAAAGTTTCTAAAGCATTCATTCCACTCATATCAGGAATTGTACCCGTAAGCTTATTGTCTCCAAGCCAACTGTAAAGGAAGTTTTCTGATTATAAAACAGAGAATCGCTGACTAATAAAAGCCGGGAAGCATGGTTGAGAAAGATGAATTACATACAGATGCTTGAGTGCAGTTAACTTAGATATACTTTTTGGCAATGACCCTGATATTCCATACCCTGTCAGATTCCTTCAAGCACTCAAAAGAAAAAAAATGTTAAGGGCAAAAGTAGGCTTAAGAAACTGTAGAAATTATACTTCTTTGTTTACTTATATATAGGTTAGGTCATACATAGTTCTGAGGTTTTGATGGCATATGGTTATACAATACAGATCATGCCCGAATAGCTGTTATAGTTGACACCAGAGAACTTACAAGGAGACAATCCGAATGGATTTTCCTGTGGAGCATGTTACTCCAGTCCACGGGTTATCTCTAGGTAGGCATGGATCTCCAGCCCAATCCTCAGGTTGTTTGTCGAAACTTTTTTTGAAGTCCTCCATTGCCACCACTGTTGAATACCCAAAAAATTTCAAATAAAGCAAGGAAACTAAAAAAAATATTTACATGTAACGAGAAAAGAGTAATATTTCATAATTAATCTTTTACCATCTCTGGTAACAGTCCTTCCTCCAAGGGCTATAAGCTGAAAGATTTCACCAGCATTAATTAGAGGCCCAACCGGCATATCGTTCCTCGGAATCAGGGAAATTTCAGTGTGCCCGGTAAGAGGCCATTCGGTGCCATAAACGGTCACACCATCTGTGGTGACATTGAGGTTGCTGTAGAAAGTTTCGTTATTCACATGAACGTCGAAAACTCTCCAGCTAAATGGGCTTGGGGTCCGGTTATCTTGAAAGTATAGTGAAATATAGTAGCGCCGGGTAGGGAGGAAAAATGGCGGCCACCTAACTGTAAGAGTCTTCCCCCTGCTCGTTGTAAGTGCTGTTGCAAAAGCTTTCTGTGGTGGGACGTTCCAAAATGTGGAAGAAGTAACATTGGAGTGACTTGCGACAAAGGGATTTTGGTCCGCAAAGGGATGCCAGTATCGATTAAAATTGTCATCTGGAAAACTGATTCAGTATATGCATTATTCACAAATTATCGACAATAGACATGAAAATCCGACCAAAAATACTTCTCCCTTGTGCAGTTTACTGTTATTTTTTTTATCCATGCCATGTTATCCAAAGATAATTTGCTTGTTTAAAAATTACAGCTACTATAATCTCTCGACCAAAATGTTTTACAATCAAGAAATTTTTACTCTTTCCTAGTAATGCAGTTCTTGTTTAAATTCAGCTTCTTAGCTGCTGCTTCTTTCTTAGAGTATATGGTGTACGTTCAACTGAATCTAGGCCACATATCTGGTATACAGTATAATAGACAAGATTTTTCGTTTCTTTTTGTTCCTCAAAACTGTCCAGTCCCCTATAGTCCTCGGCTCCTCACCGAACACGCCATTATTGTACAAATAGCTGCCACTCCCAGCAAGAAATTCAAATAATGACAAATCAATTTCTACTAACTATAAGCACTAAATGAAATATAAATCACAGAATTTCGTAAAACATTTTCATACCTAATGATGTTTCCACCTGAGCCAAAACTATTTCGAGCAAGAGTCACCAGCGCATACTTCTTGAAATTGGTAGAATTATAAACTGAATCATCAAGATGATGCACTTCAAGAGCTGAAATAAAAGGACTGGAAAGAGTGTGATCATTTCTTGCTAGACAAATACTCAAATACTTGTGATGCGCTACGACAATGACCTCATAGTAGGAGCTGAGCCCCTGAGCATAATCCTCTGTGGTATTCACAATGCTCCACTTTGTACCATCAACAACCTGATCAAAAACCGGTGGTTCCTCTCCTCCATCAAATCCTCCGTAGTAATACATAGTTTTCACCAGATGTTTCCCTCCCTTTATAGCAGGGACATTGTAACAATATTTCTTCGCGCCGGCATTGGGAAAAAATCTAAGAGTTTGCAAAATTGGTATTGTGTCTGGTTTTTTTATCTTTGTTTTGTTTCCAGTTGTGATGAAATCATCGTCTGTGATATATTTGAGGGGTCCTTCTTCTACGTCGTCCGCGGCGCCACAGTTTAGGAGGTAACCTACATATTTATAAATTTACATATATTTAGAGAAATATATATAAAGGCATTAATGTGGATTTGTTTATAGATATATACCTCTTGGTGGGGTATTGGCGTGGATCATGAGAGGGATGCTGACAAGCCATAGGACTAGGAGGAAGATGGAGGCGGACATTGTAGGAGGTGGTGGCGTAAAGGAGGAAATGGTAAGTCTCGGGTGGAGAGAGAGAGAAAATGGAAATAGAGTGAAATGTTGGACATCAATCAGATCAAGGGCTGTGCATGAAGATAGGTTGCTTCATAATTGAATGGAGCCTCATTCCTCACCCACCCTTTATAGTTGATGACAATAAAAATAGAAGTAAATGGTTTTTAATGGCTTATTATTGATCTTATACTTAATTATTGTAATTTTTAAGTAGATATAGCAACAATAACAACAAAGTTTTATACTTGTTCGTTAACGATCTCTTGCTCATATTTAGTTTTGGGCAGAATTTACCACCGAACTACATTCCTAAATAACCAAACTCGCCAATAGCTTCATGGTGCAATAGAATCAGAGCACGACAAGGCTCTTCTCTGGCTCCCCTTTCCAAAGAACTTGGGCTTGGTCTATCGTTGAGGACGTTTCTTTAGATCATAATTCGATCGATGAAGCTGCTCGACTCTCAAGTTGGGATTTCTTGGTTGAATCCTCGTTCGCTAGAAATTATTTGAAGATTGTGAGGAATACTTCATTCTTTGAATAACTACAATCAAGTGTATCGGTATACATAATTTGCTTGCTTCAATTTTCACCCTGTGCACTAAACCGTTCCCAACTCCAAATATAAGATATTGGGCCCTCCCCTGACTAGGATGGAACTGAAAGTCACAATTCACAGCACAAACAGATTTTCAACTGTCGGGACATTGTAACATTTCTCTAATCAATTATACCAAGTTTGGCAAAGTAATTTACAAGCACTAAACCATACATCATATTCGAAGATGTTTTTGTCAGCAGATAAGAGGTTTATACAAGAAAATAGACACACTTACAAGATCAATCAAACCAAGCAAATAAAAAATGTACGATTAAAAAAACAACCCTCTTCAGAAGGTAACTGAATATCTAATATACAGGAACATAAAACCTTGGTCAGAAAATCCATGTTCTGGCAGCATCATTTCTTGCCCGACATGCTGAAGGAAGTAACTTTCATTGGGGTAGCCACAACCAGTGGAGCATCTGGCGAGTTGTTAAAAGCAAATTTGTCGTGCATGAATCGGCTTTCAATAATGGATTCATCCTTCAATACAAGTTTGTAGCAATAGCAACTCTTAAGCCCTTGTTGATTCTGGTAGCAATGGTGTGCACTGTTCTTCACCTGCTGAAAATTCCATATCACACTGAACTTACCCACCGTGGCAACCAAATGCCTTTCTTGTTTTCCACTTTCAGTAACCTAATGAGAATAAAAAAATCAGAAAACGCGCCGGGATGAAAAGAAACGAGAGTGCATTACATAACACATTGACATCCACAACAATAAATGAATTCCACATTTGTAAAATGATAGTCTTAACAGTCATTTAGATATATGAAGAAGTAAGGCACATACATTAACAAGATCTTAAGCAAGATCTTGAGGACTAAACAAGCTAAGCCCTGTTTGGTGTGAATTAAAATCAAATTTTTAGTAGATTTTGATAAAAGTTAATGAAATATATGGTCGAAAAGTTGTGAGTCTATAAAGTGTGTGGTTAAAATTAATTGTTTTGCTTAGGTTAAAATTTGGATTTTAATTTGTACCAACAGGGGCTAAATATAAGTATTATCATAACTGGACAATTAGGCAAAGTTATAACTTAGGAATGGAAAGCAAATAATATAAATCTATTCCTCCCAAAAAAAACCAATGAATGCATTAAACTCATTTACACATAACTGTGATCGAAAATAAATTGCACCAAAAAAAAATTTTTCAAAAGAAAATTATTATTATTGAATTTCAGCATAATATATGGTGCACTCTGAAATACTGACATCCTAAAATATCTCAGGGGTAAATGAGGGCATTCACATTAACATTTTAACAAACAACTGATCATCAGGAAAGAAGTGGTCTTGACATTTATAATCTGAAGGGGGGGAAATCAGCAACTCATGAAACACCAAATAACGGAAGTGACAATACTAAGTGTATTCCAACAAGCAAGCAATTATTATATATACCACATTTCGGTCAAGAAATTCAACAATTCAACCTGCAGGATCGACACCTTGTAATGCAAATACAAATATCAAGAAAGAATATTTCTGTAACTTACCCATGAGAAGTGGCCAGCATGAAACTTATTATCAGATCCAGCCATGTGCGCATCCACAGGGGTCAGCTTCAGTAATCTTGGCGCTGGAATTTTGTTTCCCATACGACCACTAAAACCAGTCTTAGTTTTCCCGTCCTTATCAGTGAATAAAGCGCATATCAGGATCAAATAAGTATCCGTTGTGCCCAACACCCACTTTCCATCATAAGTCACATCAACAGATGTAATAGGGGAACCGAGGCCCGGGAAAGCAGTCTTTGCCTGCCTCATTGAAGTCCTCGAATATAATCTTATCTTCCCATCAAGTGACCCAACTACAATTGAGCCATCTCCTGTCGTGGCAAAACAATGAAAATTCGTCCCTCTGGTGAATTGATGCCCTTGGGTCCAGTGCAAAACCGGCGAACCAGCACTCGCAATCTTCTGAACCATTCCCAGTTTCTCTCGCATATCCCATTGACACAATCTATTATCATCTAAACCCAAGAAAGTGGACTCAGAAGGGTCCAACTGTGACCCCTTCGCATCACTGGTAATGTCTTTCATGGTAATCCCAGTCCCATCCTTCTCAAACTTCCATTCAGTGACAATCTTCCCCGTTTCAATATCCAACTGGTGAAGCCCTGTGGAATGGGGCTTCCCTTGCTTCAATGGACTCATAAGCATCATATTTGTCTCTCCCCTCATCAAGAGAGCCTTCTTGGGTGTCCCAGAATGCCCAGATGTGGATCCTAGTTTCCCATCAAGAAACTTCACATTCACACCTTTACCATGAATCCCATGGCTAAAGTTCTTCACAACCTGAACCCCTGAATTGCTAACCAAGAAACTATTATCCAATGCCCCTAAGGTCAAGCTCTGAATCCCACCATCAGTTGCAGCCTCCTCAAACTCCTCCAATAAATCTTGATTCCCTCTTTCAGACAATCCCTCAGGAGTCTTTCCAGGACTCTTCCACACCCCATCATCTGCATCCTCCCACATAGAATCATCTGATTGCTCTGGTTTTGCCCATCCAATAAAGTCTTTACCATAAATTTTCATTTTATTTTCCTCTGTTGCTCTCAACCCATAAACATTCTCAAACAAACAGTCCTGGAATTTTGTCACAAAAGTCCTGTACTCCTCATCTTTCAGAAATTTTAAAGCCCAAACCCCACTATGCACAAAATCTACCCTCCGCTGATCCCCAAAGAATTTCATCTGCAGATCGGTAGTAACCCTAGCCTTGATTTTCTCCCCAACTTTCAAAACCCAGAACCCCTCCCTACTGTTCAATCCTTCGTCATCGTCGTCCCCATCATCATTATCACCATTTTTTTTGACAAATTTGTAAAAAGTCAACTTCTCCGAAACTACCCATTTCGCCTTCGGGGTGTTGCCACCGACGTGAAGATAAAGCTTCACGGCATTTTTAAGATTGGCATTGGAAGTTGGCGTGGAAGAGGATGGGTGTTCTGGGTATTTCAGTTTCAAGGATTGGAGCCTAGAATCGATTGCATCTAGGGTTTCGGCACTGACCTGAGTATTCCTCTTCGAGGTATATTCTTCTGCATCAGCGTAATTCTCAGAACTCTCCTCTTCTGATTCATTCTCGCCAGAATATTCTGAGTCGGAAAGTTCAAGGCCTTCGCGACTGTGTGAACTACCCATCGTGGTCACTCTCCGAGTGATCAAAAAACGATCGCTTGAAGTAAAGAAAATTCAATCAAAGTGGCAAATTCAACCCACAATCAGCAACGGGACCAGAAATTCGATCTTGAAATAGTGGAAATTGATGGTTTCGAAGTCTCGAACCTGAGTGATGAAACGAAAATCCGAAATGCGGGAAGCAGTTTAGGGTTTTATAGAGGGGATTTTGGCAGACAATTGTCGTAGATTTGACGAGTAAACGTGGCGGGTATTGCTTGGCGATGAAGTTTTCTATTTTTAAGCGCGGAAATGTGGTGTTTTTCTGTTGCGCTCAATGAGCTGTACTACTTCATTTTGGTTATGGGTTATAATTGGGCTTAGGGTGGGCCGGCCTATTACTCATTGACTCAATATTGTACTTAAATTTGTGATTTTTGGTACAAAAACTTTGGGCCGAATATGGGCTTGTTTTACTACGTAGAATTTTGGCCCAACTCCCTTGTAGAAACAGTCGTATGCAAAATTGTTTGGAGAACTTACAAAAATACTCTTAAAATTAAGGATGTTTTGAAAAATCATATGAAACATATTTTCGAAGTAAAAAATAATGTGTAAAAATTAATTATCACTTTTTTAGTAGAAAAAGTGACACAATAGAAAAAAGTGACACACTGTCACTTTTATTAAAAAATAACATACAATGTCACTTTTATTAAAAAAAATTATGTTTCTTACTCAAAAAAGTGATAGAACTTTCGAAGAATTGACAAAAAGGTAACAAACATGAAAAATGTGATAAAATTTAATAAAAAGTGACGAACATTAAAAAAGTAACATAAATTCAAAAAAGTGACAAATTGACAATTTTCGTGTTGGTGTAACACAATTGAGTTATTATTTGTCCGGTTGAGACATGACATAATACATTGTCACTTTTCTAAAGTCCAAGTTAAACATCTCCGTAACACTTCCAAAACATCCCACTTTCTTCATGAACTGATGAACCTCAACAGATTTATTGATGAAAATAAATACAAAAAAAGTGACAAACCGATGAATAAAATTGAGTTAGAATCAACAAGTATTGATAGATTCAAAGACGCGTTGAATAAAGTATAAGAATTTAAACCATTGACTTAGGATAGAAAAATAGAATTAATTTATCTGAAATACTGGGAATTAGAAATCAGATAGTAAGTCTGTTTACGTTTTTTTAACAACATAGAATCGATTAAAGTTTAAGAAATTATACAAAATTCTAAATTTTTAATTACACTATACCAAAGACAGCCAGAGACTAATGAATTAACTGAAAAACTTGCAAACTTTAATACAAAACATTTCGAATCATCAATACGCAGGAAAAAACAACACATCTTTTTGAAATAATAGGATCAAAGTTATATGAAGCTACAACACAAATATATGGTAGATATGTTTTCATACCCATTGTGAATAATCGAATCGACATTCACTCTGCAATTAGCAACTGCATTAAATTTAACAAATTCAACGAAATTCTTAAATTCTAATTTGAAAATATCGAACAGAGCCAGAGGCTAATGACTCAACGAAGAGATGGCTGAGTATAGAAGTATTCAGATTCAACGTTAATAATCGAATCAAATCGATGAATAATGAATTCACGTGGCTTATATATTATCTTCAGAAACTCTGCAGATTGATAATAATAATTCTGATTGAAATTCCTGGTTATATAAACGTACATGTATGTATTTTGTTGGAGATTTGATGGCTAGGTAATGGGTGGGTGGATTTGGGGAAGAGTGGAGTCAGAAAGGGCGAGAGAAGTGGGGAGAGAGTGGGAGGGTGAAAGAGAGAAACAGAGGATTTAAATTCCCGTATTAATTACGGTTATAATTTGTTTTAATTAAAAAAATTTTTTTTTTTTATATCTAGGTATCCTAACTTATACCAGACTATGTCCTGGACCATCCATTCCCGGCCCCTCAGTGATGGGTGGAGGTTAATCGCGGGATATGCCCAAATTGACCAGGGTTTGTACAACCTTTATACTCCTGACCCCAAAGGAGCCTTCCTCCATGAATATTACATCACCAAGCTGCTCCACCCAAAGTGAGTATTACAACACTCAGCTGCTCCATCCAGGAATCGAACTCCCCACCCTGAAGTTGCAAGCCCAGCAATACCCATCCTTTATCAATTTAGATGTGCCCCGGGGGGCTTGTTTTAGTTAATTTTTAATTTAGCTTAAGGTGTAAATCTAATTTGTCCAAATATTGGGGGTATAGGGCCTAATTTTCCCAACTTGTTTTACACTGTTTAGTATATATCTTTAGTGCATGTTTGGATTAAATTATAAGTTATTGAAATAGGTACCCTTGTTCGGTATAGCTTGAATTATAAATTAAAATTTAAGTCAAAGTCAACAAATAATTTTAACTACACATTTTATCAACTTTTATCAAAATCTACTAAAGATTCAATTTTTAGATACACCAAATAGTGATTGAATGAGTGATGGATAAATAGGTAATAGTTGGGAATCTTACTAATGAAAATTAATATTGTTCGACTTTAACTATTAAATTATAACTAAAAACATTACCCACATATGAACTTAGTTTGTCAAGCAACAAGAAATTAAACTTTTTTTTTCTTTATTTTATTAATAAACATTTTTTTACAAATTGTTTTGAAATGTGAAAACACTACTTGAATGCTTCAGCTCCTCGTTCGACGACTGCAATAGATAAGCTCCTGATTGATTTAGATAAAATTTAAATTTTACATTTTGATAATATACATACACGTGTGTGTATGTGTGTGTGCAATGTGTACTTAAAATGTTGATAAAAGTTGTGAATCTAATGAAATGTATGATTGAACGTGTTTGAGAGAAAAATATTTTTTAAAAAAATGGAGGCCAAACAAGGCCTAAATAATTTTCTTATATTGAGAATAGAATTAATAATTTTCGCTGGTTAAAAAGTGACATAGAACGAAGTAAGTGATTATTAGAAATGAAAGTAAAAGAACAAGAAAAATGTAAACGAGCAAAATTAACTAGAGTAAATACTTTTAGAGGGACTAAATTAATGAGAGAAATGAAAGTTAACCATTATACGAATTTCTATCATAGAACGCTTTCTTACTTTTCATACTTCCATATTGCCATTTGAGGATGAAGAAGATGCTTAGAAGAAACTATACGTTGAAATTTTTGAACGTGTTAGTTGTGACGTGTAGTTGTGGTAGAAAATGACAACGATAATAAAGAAATTGAAACTCAGCATAGAGAACTTTCTTTCAATGACAAAGAATCAATTTTTTTTGTGCCAACTCGACTAACTTGGTTTAGTAGAGGGTCTCGGAACTTAATCGCTACCCTATCATAACCCCGCTACATCCTTCGCCGTCTCAAATGTACCGAGCCAAACTCTTGCAACCTTGCAGGGATCCCGAATATAAATTAAAGTAGCTCCTTTCAAAAATTATTATACAGTAACCAAAAATAAAAGTTATGTCAAATGGGCCCTAAATTAATGAAAGAAATGAAAATTAACCATCATATAAATTTCTATTATAGAGTGCTTTCTTACTTTTCATAATTCTAAACTGCCATCCGAGGATGAAACTATACATTGAAATTTTTGAATGTGTTTGTTATGTGGCAGAAAATGACGGCAACAGTTGAAAATTAATGCTTCAACTATAATTTTCACTAGAAGCTATTTGAAATATTTGTAGCTATCGAAGAAATTGTAACTCAGCATAGAGAATTTTCTTTCAATGACGCTAAATCAAAATTTCTTATGCCAACTCGACTCACTTGATTTAGTATAGGGTCCATCTCGTCAAATTCGTCGAGTTGATAAGCTACCATATTAATTAAAATTAAATTATTATTATGTTTCATGTTGATCATATTGAATCAGTAAACACCACTCATCGAATCTGTAAACCACTCCACCAACTCAATATGAGTTGACACCAAAGCTTATGAATGAAAATCGCACTAAGAAAAAATAAATCCGCACGAGGGAATATTAAATAAGTCTATTTCAATTAAATAGACCGCATGTTTCATATGTCATCTATTATTTAGTATCTCCAATTTAAGCACGCGTCTTACGTAAGTGGTTGTTCGTTTCTTTATATGTTTGGACCGCCAATTGGGTAAGGCCGACCTGACCCAGTCAGTACAAAAGTTCATAATCTCAGGTGGAATGTCAGCACTTTGGGCCCCACTTGGCATTTCTCTTTTCTTCTTTTGGGGAATTAAGCTACTGTGACAAGGCCATATGTCACATCTGGGGGAGAATGTGGGTCCCCCTATTGGCTGGGGTTTGTAAAACAGTAAAAGCATAAAGAACGGAATAAGGATAAAAACTAAATTTATTGTCTTGAATTTTTAGTCACGTGTTTCAATGCGAATTACATTTACAAAATAGGAATAATTGCGCACATTCTTGTTAATTGCATAAACTTGCTTTATTTTTGTGAATATATAGTTGAAAGACTGGACCGACCTCGGAAAGAGTGTTCAATTTTACTTATCCTACATACTCGATTCAATATGAACATATTGAATGTCAAATAAAGAAGAAAGTCTTGCACGTCATCGAATTAGTTGATCGAACGCACTAAGACTGTGTTTGATGGGCTATATTTTCCATGGAAAATGGAAAAAAATATATATATTTCCATGTTAAACACTTGTTTGATAGACAAAATTTGGCATGAAAAATTGTTTCCATGACCCCATCCACGCGCTCATTTTCTCTCTTTTCAAGGAATTCATTTTCACTTTTTGGCAATGGTAACAAATTTCATAAACAATTGTAAAAAAAGAAAAAAAAAATCACTTTAATGATCAATTTCCATGTAAAATAAAGTCAAACGTGAACAAAAATATCCAAAATTTTAAAATTCTTCATGTGGAAAATTATATCAATCAAACAAACTTAATTAACAATTCCCCGAAAATAAGTTTTAGGCGATTATTTTCTCTGGAATTTATTTTTTTTTCCACTCGTGCAATGAAACAGATCCTAAGTGATACAATTATAGCAGTGTTGGGGATTGTTTGACTAATTTTTTGCCAAATTTCATAAAAGTTAAGATAACGAGTAGTTGAAAAGTTGATAAAAATTGTGAGACCGATGAAATCGTGGTTAAAATTAAAGTTTGACTAATTAAAAAATTAATGAAATTTCGGTAAAATTTTATTAAATAAGCACTTCATTCATAGAACAAAAAAATCGACTAAACGTGGACAAGACATGACTAAAATAGGAAAAGCTTTCATTAAGGTGTGTTTAAATGGTGTGTTCACAAGTGCTTTTGAAAAAGCTATGAAGTTCGTTTTTTAAAAAGTGTTTCCAACAAGCCACGTGAATTTAACCAGGAGGACAGTGAGCCCATTTAAGTTGTTTTTTAATAGAAAAGAAAAGAAAATCATCCTCGTCCTCATTTTTTTTTTGTTTTCCAAACATGTAAACATTTTAGTTACAAAAACATGTGTATACATATTTCGTATGCCTGTCAACTCTTAATGTAATAGTAAAGAACTACTTTTTTCGATTCCTTTGCTATCGTGAGCTTCTTGTAATCAATTGGATTAGATAAATTTTCCTTCAATACTGTATAGGTCATCGAGAGGATCTCGAAAATTCACCAAAGAACGAAATCGAGTTTTTTGGGAAAACGGAAAATACTCTTATAATCTAAACAGAGAGAATTTATTCACATTAGTCCATTCTACTGTTTATTAAACTTGTTAGCTGCAATACAATCTGGAATTTTTTGCAGTGACATTTTTCCCTAGAAAAAAAATGCAGAAATTTATGTAAAAGTACCTAAATTACAATGGGTTTTTTAATGTTGTAATTAATTAGATCCCGCTGGCAGAATCTGATGAATGTTCTCCATTGGAATCCATCATATTTGTCATCAACAATTCTTGAATATCATCTTCTCCAATCAAATCCCAGAAATCCTTCTCATTGCTGTTCCCAACTTTCATTTCTGTCCGAATCTTGTTATTTCTTTCATTTTCTTGATGCACCATTTTCTGCTGATTCTGACTGCGCCCGACCGCGGCCGAGGCAGAGCCCGTGGCGGAGGTGGAGGCGTCGGTGTAATCAGCAAAGGGAAAATTAAGCTTTGCTCTTGGACCTCTAAACTCAATCGCCGCCATATCATAAGCCCGCGCGGCATGCTCCGCCGTCTCAAATGTACCAAGCCACACTCTTGCTGCCTTGCGAGGATCCCGAATCTCCGCCGCCCATTTTCCCCATGGCCGCTGCCTCACACCTCTGTAATTCTTCTTCTTTTTCTTCACTACTACATTTTTCTTCTTTCTTTCATCAACCTCCGGCACCGCCATGGCCTGTCCAAAATAATTGCACCCTAAACACCCTTGAATTCCGCAAACCTGGCAAGTCTCTGTATCTTGAGCAACTGGAAATAACACCTGGTACCCTTGAGAAAGACTCGTTGAAGAAGGCGATAAAGAAGTGGCAGCAGCATATTCAAAATGACAAGAGGCGGTGTTACCAGTAATGACATTCTTTAACGTGGCTATCATGACGGAAACTTCCTCTTCACTCGTAAGCCGGTACGGTGGCGCCGCCGCTGGTGGCGGTGTCAACGTTGGGTTGTTCATTGAGGTACTTCCTTCTTGCGGCGACGGCGTCGTCAACGGTGGGTTGTTCGTTGAGATACTTCCTTCTTGTTTGAATCTCTTGTCTGACCTCTGCATGTCTCTTGAGAGCTGACCTTGAGTAGCTGAGTTTCTTATTGTTGGAAACAGAGGTCAAAATTCAAATGGTTATATGTGGAAATATTGCCAACTCATACACAAATAATACACGGGTTTCTGTTTATTTATGTCGGCACGTGGGGAATTATGTGCGCTTGGTCTATGATGACGTGGCAAAAATGATGAGTTGGCACTTGGCAGGATAAAGTTTGTTTGTGAATTCAAACAGTCGTGTGGTCGGTTGACCGTGACGTCATTACTGACAAAATCAAAATTATGTCGGGGATTACGTCTCTTTAATAATTAATTAGTAGTTTAATTAAAGTGATTTTTGGTAATTTGAAACGTGACCAGGTACAATGATAGTTAAGCAGGCCACGGATAAATTAATACTCTCTCCGTCCAATCTATATAGCATGCGGCATCCATTCGAGAAATTATAAATGTTAGAATCGTAATTGATGGAAGAATGTGTGGTTAAAAATTAACGAAATTTTTTAGATTTGTGTGTAATATTATTTATTTGGAGAATGTGTGATTATAATTAAGAAAGAAAAAAATTAAAAAAAAAATTAATAGGTGACAAACATCGTTATAGGCTGATCTTGTTCTTCACACAGATTATGAAATCTTATTTAATGTTATTGAAAAAATAATTTTTGCAAAACTTTCATAATTTATCCTTATTTAATTATCAACAATTATTAGCAAATTATTGTTGGAAATAATAAATAAATTGAATAAGTGGAAAATTTGGTTATAACTATGCAAATTAAATGATAGTATATTAGTAAACGAATAAAACAAAATATTCTCAATAAAAAAAGTGATTATAATATTAGAACAAGAAAATAAGGAAAATCGACCTATATGAAACGAGACGAAGGGAGTATTGTTAAAAATGCTATTACTAAGGCAAATGAGTGTCATAATTCGATCATATAAATTTTTATTAGACTTGATAATCTAAAATTTTATTTATTTTCTGTTTTTTTGTAAAAAGAAGCTAATTACTGGCTAAATCGCCTGAACTTGAGCTATAAAGAAATCATTTGCATTACGAATAAAACTAAGGGTGTGTTTGAACCACATTATTTTGAAAGAATGTATTTTGAAATAGTAAATTGATGTAATGTGTGTGGTTGAAAAATAAGGAAATGTTATTGTTGTGATGGAAAATATTATTTTATTGAATAATGTGTTGTTGAAAATGAGTAAAAAAATGAAAATTGAAATTTTAATCTGACTCAAACAGAGGTTAAGTTTGTATTAACTTTTCGTAATTTCCATATTAAAATGCAAATGTTAAATGGAGCATGTTGGAACGCTCGACTCAACCCAAGCGCGAGCAAGTTCACTCCAAAAAATCCCATCTAGATCTTTCCGGTGGGAAGAGCTAAGTCGAGTAACGAGCGGCTCGAGGCTCACTATTTATTTATTTATGAAAAATACACTTTCACTCATCTATTACGAGTCGATGACGAGTTGACGACCGACTAGCTGATGTTTTTGCTACTCGGCTCACTTGTGGAACGATCCGAACCGATGAGCACTCACTTAACACCTTTATCATACATCCAGTATAATTCAAAAACAAATTTGACATAGCTTACATGCTCCTCACGCTTGTAAAGATTACTAGTATGACGCACGTGTATTCATAGTATAGTCGGCTATATGATAGCGTAAATATAAAAAAAAAAATTATTTGCCTTAAACATTAATTACTTTAAACTTAAAACACTTGAAATGATGATATGTGAAAAAAATAATATTAAAAAAGAGATTTGATTCAAAACTTATTTTCTAAACTTTGCGTTTGAATGTCTCTCTGTTCTTTTTAAAAAAAGACAGAGTATAGATGATTAAATGTTGATACCCTACTAAAGAGATAATGAAATTCAAACTAACCCTCATTTTTCTACTTATTGAGGTAAAGTATTATGTCTCCTTCATCTCGTGCTCATAGAATCTCCAATTACATGTATCATTTGCACCAATATTTAATTTCTTTATCAAGACCCTATGCAAGATGTATGTAGTCAAGACTAATTAATTAATGATAATACAGTGCAGAATTTAGGACAAATCAAGAATCTCTATGAGTATTAAAACCACTACACAACAAAAACTACTATCATAGAGGCAAAAAGAATGACAAACAATCACCTAACTTCAGAAATTTCGTCGAATATCTTTTCAACGTGTTATAATGATACTATACATTAAATCAATTTTAAAAAAATAAAAATAATTCTCTTTATAGAAGATGTTTGTCTACCAGCACTGCATGGTAGGGGGATTCTTTTGAAAATCATTGAGTTCCTTCAATATCCATTTTTGACGCCATAAATTTACCATTTTTAATCGTAAAAACTGAAGAAAAATGAAATTGAGAGAAATTGGTGTAAGTATGGGGGTTGAGGGTGGGGTAGAAAAGAAAAATTAACAATTTAAGTTCGAAAAAAGGACATTGGAATGAGGTTGTGATTGAAAAGAAACATAAACAATCACGACTTTACGTTTCACAATTAATGTAAAATTATTTTTGATATTTAAAATTTATCGATCATATATTTATCATGACCGCACTTCAACATTTCCAACAAATTTTAAATTGTTTAAAAGGAATATTTGTAACTTAAAATACTGAATCAAATGAATTAAAAAAATAAAAACGATAACTGCTTAGACAGCTTAGCCAAGCCAAGCCAAGCCAAGCCAAGCCATTTGGCTCGGTTCGACTTATGAACGTTGAACAGTAACCACCAAATGACTTTTTTATTTATGTAGGATAAGCATAATAATTTGTTCCTTAATTTATATTTTAAGGTTTTCACACTTACCTAAACAGAATCTTTAGAGAAATTGGTCAAATTACAAGCCCTAAGAAATGGATATCCAAAAACATTTTACAACCTTCTGAACCAAGATAACGTTTAATAAACGGTGTTTACACTAGGAAGAAAAATAAGTACAAGCCACCTTACCTTGACCTGACCGTAAGATTTAATAAATCAAACAATTCGAGTTCATATTTGATGAAGAGATAGACATCATTTACAGTTAGGTTTGCAATCTCTATAGGTCAAAATGGATGACTTCGACTCTTGACTGGAATTTAGAGAAAAGAGACCAAACAATTTGACAATTACTAGTAGATTAAATGATTTTTTTACCTTCCAAACAATTCTTTTTTTTTGCCAATACATATTTTATCTGCTATTTGGAGCCAAAATGATCCTAAAAATCAGAGGCAAATCTTGAAAAATGTATGGCTTTGTATGATAGGCTTAAATATACCGTACATAGTATCTAGCCAAGTTCGGATCGACCCAGAATGAAGCTAGATCTTTTGTGTAATGGCGGCTCGAATTATAAGAACACAAGATTCATGGGGAAAAAATCATTTATTGAAACAATTTTTGGTTTGTCTCGTTCCACACTTGTTTGCCATGTAAATTGATTTTTCACGTTTTTGTGTACGTTTTGTATTTGCGAGGAGGGCATATGTTTCCCATAATTGTTTGGTTTTTTCATGTTATGTCTCCATCTAAAAAAATTGCTACGAGGAGTTGGAATCATCCGCCTGCAAGGAGTAGATGTAATGATACATAATAAAGGTCAAAAAAATTAAAATATTTGTAAAGTGAATTGAATAGTGCCAGAAAGAATAATGCTATATACTAAATATGCTCTGAATACCTCATCCTACAAACTTAATCCAACACGGAGAGCTCTTCTTGTTTCTATAGATATATATCATCTATATATACATCCAAACATCATCACTAAAGTTAACAGAAAAAATTTCAAGCAACCCGTTGTTAAATTTTCTTTCTACTATTTTCGACAAGAAAGATATACGTAGCACCCCCACGATTTCTAAATACGCAAAACTTTGTTGTATGGCATCCTTTTTAACCATCTGGATCTGTCTTCTCTCGAAAGAAACAAAAGCTATCCATTCTTCTAAATTAGTTTCTTCATCAGGTTGGAGGATTTACAAAGCTTTCGAAGTTTTCTGATACACCTTCACAGTGCGCCAGCTCTTCTCCTACAGTTGAACAATCAACGGCTGAATTGTTTACTGTAGGACATTTCCCACAAGGCACAATCTGAAAGGACACAAGAAGGAATGGATAAGAGATCATCAGTGTTCAGTTGTTTTTAGTGCATAAAAAACTTCAATTCTACACATTACTTGATCATGGCCTGAACTATCCACTAATGCTCTCTTCGACCTTTTAGCCTGAGAGGAAATATTCGGGTGGTTGGTTTGACAGCCCTCATCAACAAAATTTTGACCTGTACCCTCTGAAAGATCCCTAACTATTTAGAAATTTCATAACATAACATTTACAAAATAAAAAATTACAGAATCTGAACTATATGGAGCATGTAAATCAATAAATTCTATTTGAAAAACAAAACTTCAGGCATGGCAAAATTCCATTTCTTTTCCCTTTCTGGAGGTAAGGTTGGAATTTTAATCAATAACAAAGTAGGGGATAATACCAAATACCACATCAAAACCTACGTTGATGCCTAAAAATCTCGTCTAGATGCAGATGGAATTATACATATTAAGAAAAAAATAACAAAATTTCTGGTGTCTCATTCTCTAGCACTTGCACAAAGCCAGATGATTCTCAGACTAAATTTTGGGTAGCATAAAATGCATTCCTAATGAAGCTTCTTATGAATCATGACACTCTTAACAATGGAGTACAGATGGCAGGCTCAATCTAGACTGCTTTTATCATTGCCCAAGTTGTTTTCACAAACCCAATCTTGCCATTTTAAAGTGACCAAGATCCAAGGTATCATATGCTATAGGCAAAAGGAGGGTACTGCCATATACCATTAACCAATGGAAGTTGAATTATGAGATACGAGGGAGGAAAGAAATATTTATTGGCAACATATTAAGCAGAAAGCAGAGTAGATAAACTAGCCTCAGTGCTGAAAATCATTGTGACATCAAACATACACAAGAT